CAAGTGTCTGGTTTGAGATCACTTTTACTATTAAAATTTCTCCTAGCTAGACCTCTGCAACCAAATGATTTTCAGTAGAACCTAATACTTGAAGGCTCAGACTAGATGTAACTTACTCTTCTTTCAGGGCCAGATATTTGAAACATACAACATGGCTGCCTTGTGGAAGTTGCCTTGTATTTTCATCTGTGAAAACAATCGGTACGGAATGGGCACATCAGTTGAAAGAGCTGCAGCCAGTACTGACTACTACAAGAGAGGAGACTTCATTCCAGGGCTCAGGGTGAGTACAGTCACAGCATTTTTTTTGAGTGGGATGTGTGTTCACACACCTGCACAGTACCTTCATGGGTATGTATTTACAAATATATGTGGAAATACAGGAAAAATTAAAGCTGAATTCCTATTGCACTTGTGGAAGTACTGAAATTGGAAGTTTGGAGGAGGTTGGAACCTTTTTGCCTTAACATGTGGTTTCTCTTTATCAGGTGGATGGCATGGATATTCTCTGTGTTCGAGAAGCAGCAAAGTTTGCAGCTGAGTACTGTAGATCTGGAAAAGTAAGTCTGTAATTGTCATTCCTTTTCCATAGGTGAAATTCTTAGCCAAGTCATTGCTGCATAAGAAGTTCCTCATCTAGCCCATTTTCTCCAGTTGCTGTTGAACTTTATTTGACCTTTTATTTCCTTTTTTTCTCCACAGTACGGAACCCACGTGCAATTAAGTGGTTCTCTAATTTTGTTAGAATTTATTAACATGGAATTGGCATCAAGCAAGCATTTAATATATGTTATTGATACACACACTGTCAGCTTTCCCCCCATTTCTTCCCCAGTTAAATTGTCTTATGAGAGATGTTCTGACTGTGAGGCAGCTGTGTTCTTTGTGAAGTGATTAGTTAGGGGAATCATCAAAAAAGTAACAATCATTCTGTATTTACAAGAAATGGAAAGTGAAGTAAAAGTTTTGTGAGTCAGTGGCAGTGTCTCTCACCCAAACATGGTAACACAGGTTTTGAAGATTTTTAATACTTGGTGAAGTAATGAAGGTTCTGTGAGTTACAGTCTTACAGTGAAACAACAGGTGATTTGAAATGTTCTGAATAACAGTGGAGTGACACTGGAAGGGAGGAGATTGTTTAATGCTGCTCAATAAGAACATGAGAATAGATGCTTACAAATCAATACATGCTTTCATTTGAGAAGTTTCATTTTACTGAGTGAAACTGTATGTGCTAATGTGTAAATTAAACTGGAAAAAACCCATTGAATTAAAATAATTGATCACTGATGCAATTCACCTATAGCAAGTTGGTGACTCGTGGTAACACTCTGTATTTTCTTTTCAAGGGTCCCATTCTGATGGAGTTACAGACATATCGTTACCATGGCCACAGTATGAGTGACCCTGGAATAAGGTACTGTCACTTTCTTTCTTGGCACTCCTTGAAAACAACTAAGTCTTGATGGTCAGATTCTAAGAGCTGAAACTCTTGAATTCAATGTTAAATCAGCTGTCAGGTGCATTTAAAGTGCTATGACCAGACTGATGACTGATCTCATTGCTTAGTTGATAATCCTTGGCCATGTAACGTACCTGTTTTACTTGCAGTATTAAGAGATTTACTTTACAACAAGCACGAAGTCAGTTAAACTGCTGTGTTCATTTCTATTAATGAATTCTGCTTTCAGTATGACTTTAATGTTTCCTAATTAAGCAGCAGCTTTTCTGGGTTTTTTAGAGTATTTAAAACCCTGTAAGCTAAATTTACATGAACAGTGGGCACCATCCAGTCAAGTAGAACACAAAAATACAAATACACGTGTGCAAGAAAGACTCAGGCATTGTGTCAACTGACAAATCTGAGTTTGTCTACACGGACTAGAGGTGTATCCCAGCTCCTCATTGAAAACACGCAGTGAATCGGAAGCATGCTGCAAGTCATGTAGCCTCCTCTTAGAGGTGATGGGAAGGAGGAAATATGGCCCCTCGTAGTATCTGTCTCAGGCTGGGATTGCTCCCCTTTCCCCCTGGTCTGGAGCTGCTACTGCAGCTCAGTTGGCATTTACAGATCTACAGGGGCTTCTAGATGTTCATGTGCTGTCCTTTGGGTGATAAACATCACTGTATTTTCATTGCATTCCTACCATTTTATAAAAGTGAGCTGTGTCTGAGCCTTGCCTCTATTCAAGGGTTCCCCTGAAGCAGTTCATGTCTTTGCCTTGTTCTAGCTATCGAACTAGAGAAGAAATTCAAGAAGTGAGAAGCAAAAGTGATCCCATTACTTTGCTGAAGGACAGAATGATCAACAACAACCTTGCTAGCATTGAAGAACTAAAGGTATGGCTTTTAGTGGCTTTATTAAGCAGGTTCTTGAGCAGTCACACACTGATGATCTCTGCAAAAACACATGGCGCAGAGTGCATCACTCATTCTTTGAAGTTCTTTAAGATTTGCTTTAACATCATTTTTACAGGTGAAGGTGAAGTTTTGTTGCAGACCAACTAATGAAGTTGTGCTCTGCTAGAAAGGCCTTTTGCCTTTGGGTGTGTTTCAAATAGTTTGTCGTATGCTAACAGGTAGCAATCAAACAACTTAGGCTTTCTTGACTCCCTAGGAAGGGTGTAAGTCTCAGAAAGAAAATCAATAGTGAAGGAGTCAGGAACCCTCTAAGCAAATGTTGTAACCACTTTGGTCAACTCTGTTTTTACAAAAAATGGCACTGACAGTGTTTCACAGAATCAGAATAGAAAAGGTAGAGGCTCAGTGGGGTCATGTTCCTCTGGCTGTAAGTTACCAGTACTACTCAAAATGCTGCAGTTTAGTAGGGAAGGAGTTTCTATAGATTTTTAATGTTATGTTTCCAGACAGTGTTAACACTATTTCTGACCAATACTTAATCATGGTGTTTAAATTCAAAATTGTGGCACTGTCTGAGCTGTCTTCTAATAATTTCCTTTTTTTGTTTAGGAAATTGATGTGGCAGTAAGGAAGGAGATTGAGGAAGCTGCTCAGTTCGCTACCACTGACCCAGAACCCCCGTTGGAAGAACTGGGTAACCACATCTACTTCAATGAGCCACCCTTTGAGGTGCGTGGCCCAAACCAGTGGATAAGGTACAAGTCTGTCAGCTAAAGGCCTTTTTCTTGCTGTAACTTATTCATACGAATAAGTGAATGCGTTACAGGAACTATAATGACTCAAACAATCATTAAGCTTATTTAAAAG